TATGAAAATATACTTGAATTTATTATTTTTCAAAGTGTCAGAAATGGATAACAAAACCGCTATTTTCAATGACTACTTATTTTTGTTCAGCTTTAACATCGGTATCGATATCGGTTATCGTCTACATGAGTTTTAAAATATCGGCATATCGGATATCGGCCAAAATCCCACTATCGTGCATCCCTATTTACAAGGTCATGTATCAAACACAGAAAAGCCACGTTGTTTTCAGCTCAGCTACAAAGTCTGGCTCTCTGCAAGTTCTTTAATCATTAAATCAGAAGGTTATTCTTGTCTCACAGGGAAACACCAGGACTCCGGCTGGATAAACTCCCCACTCCTTGAGCACAGATGAGCCTGATAAACAGACCAAGCTAATCATGCAAAGTGAATTGTTCTCTTTTCTGTTAAATATGCTTTGAAAATAAAAAAAAAATACTGAATGCTCCTAGAACTAGTGGTCATACCAGACCCTGCCAGTGGAAAGTGCTGGCCTCACTGACACCTGAGTAGCAGGAGAGGACAGAGCCTTCAGGAAGCCACAGCCAAAATAACACTCATCTTTAGCTGCACTGTAATTAAGGCTCAGTAGTAAAACTTTGAAGTGAGCGGTGTCTAGAATACAAGTGGCCTCAGTGTTTTTGGTGGGTGATAAAAAAAAATCTATTTCTAGATGGGATCTTAGATCAAACCGAGTTCCTAAAAAGCAGCACACATTTTATTTACTCAAGACTGAAACAAAGTTGCCCAGTTAAGACTGTAATCTCCTGCAATCTAATTATAACTAGTTGTTTTCAATTTTGCTGATTTCATAATGCTGTATATAAGGGACCACAGTTGTTGGCTCAACAATAACTCCAAGAATAGCAGGGGTGGTGTTAATCAGAGCAACTAATGCAGCACGGATGGTTTGCGTTAATGTGGAGCTCTAAACTTGCCAGGAAGGAAAAACCTCAATGCTGAGAGGGAAATTACTTTTCACAGAAATATCACAGGAGACGGATTTTTCATGTCACTGCTGGACAAAGACACCGATTTAAAGTGAAATATCAAGTTTCAGGGCTCTGTGCCACCTGCTGCTAGTGTGTTAGCCTATAGCACGAGGCGAATGTCTGTCTGGGTCACGCAGCCATGTCAGGTCATGACTGTATCCACGGAAACATACAATAACAAACAAGCAAAGACACGTGACTCTAATCTCAGCCTGAGCAAGTGTGAGGAATGTAATTGTTTAATACGCATCGACGTGACATTCCTGCGATTTCAGAGCAATCTGCAGTGAAACTCTCATCGCTGTTTGACATGAGTGTGTTGTTTGCTTTTTCGTCGTCTGGTATAAAGAACAGCTATGTAGAGGTTTATAGGGTGGACTTAGCTGTGTGGCTGAATGTCCTGAGGGAGACGTGCCATAAAGCTGGCAGGAGGATCGACTGCTGACAGTGAGGAGCCTCCCACCGTTATTAATGGCTCAGCCTATGAAGGCAGGAGACCCCCGCTTTGAAAAGTACTGTTAAGTCACTCAAAGTGAGGGAACATCTTACCTTTCATTTTTGTTGGTAAAGATGAATCAAACTGGATGCTCTAACAATGACACCTTTATTTCTACTGGTGTGATATCAGCATCCATTTCCCTTATTTTTTCAATTTTAGATTTGAATATTAAAATCTTTTCAATTTTATTTTATTTTTTAGGCCCTATGTTCTAATTTTTTACAACGCCTTGGTTTTTAAATTTATGTGAGGTTATGGCAACAAACCTTGATGTATTCCAGTAGGACTGTAGTTGTCTATGATTTTGAAGTGGAAGGAAAAATGATGCATGTTTTTTTAAAGTGTATCACGGATACAAATCTGAAAAGTGTGGTGCGCATTTTTATTTGTTACAGAACAAAAGTGAACAAACAACATAATATAAACCAAGGTAAATTACAGAGAGACCAGCTATGAAGCTGTGGAAAGGTTTAAGGTTGGGCTCTACAGTAGAGACTGACACGGGAGTGGATTTTCACTCCTGTCCTGATCCCGGGGCCAGAGTAGAAATCTAAATCCTGTCCCGTCCCACTCCTGGTGAAATTACTCCCACTCCCATCCTTCTACCATTCAGAATGACTCCCGCTCCTGCACCACTCCCATTCGAGTCGAGTTCGCCACTAACTGTTGGTCCCTCCATTGTTGTTTTTGAGCACTGTTGTTTTTCCACTGTTGGTTTTTGGGTCGTTTAGTTTTTTTGACTCGCATTATAGTGTAGGCTTCAAGGAAAAAAACTACGAAATGGCGGTGCCAGTACTTGATTTTTTTCTTTCTATTTATTTTATTTTATTTTTTGGCATTGATCCTAGTTTTTTTTAGTTGATATTGGTTTGCTCCCGCTCCCGTCTGCTCCCGTTAATGTTTAATCCTGTACCGTCCCAATCACGTGATCGTTACTAATACTGATTCCCATCCCATGGGAATCCCACGGGAATCCCGTGACCTGTGGGATTCCCGAAAAAATGTCAGTCTCTACTCTACAGTAAAACAACACCCCAAGCTTTAAGCATCTCAGAGCTCCTACAGTCTGCCATCTTAAGATAGAAAGCTCATGGGATGATGACAAACCTAACAAGACATGGCTGTCCACTTAAACTGACAAACTCTCAGAGTAGTTGAGAGGTTCATAAGGACTCTGGAGGAGTTGCAGAGATTCACAGATTGGGCAGGAATATCAGTTGATAGGAATTTACAGAAGGATGAAAGGAGGTAAACTAAATTAAGTCCCTTTTAAAGTTTCCCCCCAGCCATAGACAGGACGGAGCAGCATGCTAAGAAACATAGTCTGGTTAGATTTAATCAAATTTTTATTTCTTATTTTCTTAGAAACTAAAGAGTACATTTGACTTGGGTTTGAATACACCATGCGCCCAGAGAAACAGATAGATTGGGGATTATTTTCTTCAACAAAGGCCAGAAAGATCATCAGACTTGAAGAGAATATGGATTGAGGTAATAACGGGTCAATCAAAGAGAAAACCCCCCCGCAAAACATAGGTTGATTTTCGAGCAGCAATCTAAACCTAAATATACAGTTAGATCTACAATTTCATTATTTAGATAAAGAATATTTGCTGTACCACCAGGGCCCAGAACGAAAAAGGAAAACTTGTGGCTGCAGCTTGACATTGCTGTGAACAGGCCATCCATCCTATCTGATAGAAACTGGGCTTCTGTGCACAGAATGATCATAATATTCTGTCTGTAGATCTGCAAAGCTGGCGTTGACGTCTCCTAAATGAACA